CTGCGTCTTCTCCCACGGTCCTAGCAGCGGCAAGTAGAACTTTTTTTGAGTGATTAAGCTTTTAATATGTTCAGCTTAATCACTCCGGCGCTAGTCTCTGCGGACGGCTGTAATTAGCTGATTAGCTGCTGAAACAGACAGATGGGAGGCGGCAGAAGGGGGAGGAGCGCGAGTGGCGCTAACAGTACTTGGGCTATAGCGGGAAAAGCGGCGGTGGGAAAGTGGGCTCACTTTCTAGCAGCCGGGATCCCGCCCTGTATGCAAACTGGTATCTCGCGGCAGAGGACGAGCTCTCAGTCACGAACCCCAAATGCTTGCATAATAGCCCCCAGTACACACAGCACGCCGCCAGCTCCCAGTCAGATGTGAGCTACAGCAGACAATAACGAAAACGTGTAACCTCAAAGGTGTTTATCTCAAAGCGCAGGAAACGTGCCTGTATTTCAAGATTGTAGGGTTGCTAAATTTGAGTTATGTCTCACAGAAAAGGTTGGCTTGCAAATAATGACTGTAGCAGACTGCTTTTCTCAAGTTTGAAGAGATGAAGAGATAAAACAAATAATTTTATTACTAAACTACATGGTACATTTGGGGACAAAAATGTCGGTGTCCAATAGTTTGCTGGATTTCTAGTGCAGTGCAAGAATTTGTGCTTTTTATGCATCAATTTACAGTTTGTTTTCTTGCTTTTTAAGGGAAAACATAAACCAGGTAACAATTCAAATGAATGTAACATTGATCTCAGGCATTCTGTGGTTTCTCAAATAGTTGTTAGTTACTACTTTCACTGTCTCTCACAGACAGCATGCTGTCACCAAAAAACAGAAGAAAATCTTGCTGTCATTCAAATTCATGTCATTCATGCATAAAAACTCGCTTTTCCTACCCCGAGAGGCTCTAGGGCAGACACAGGACACATTGGAGAGATTATATCTCTTGGGTTGGCTTGTTGACACACTGGTGTTCCCCCTAAAAAGCTGGGTGAAGTGGCTGGGGAGAGGGAGGTCTGGGTGTTTCTGCTTAGACTGCTAACTCCTATCACAGGGACCTGGGTAAACTTCAGATAATGGACGGATGGATACTTGTGACAAAATGACTACTGCACACTCTGTTAATCATTTTCTTTGCAAAATGACACAACGATGATTACCTTTATTTATCCTGGTGCTACTCTGATAAACCTATTCCCTCATTTTGACTGTAGCACTGAACTGAAGGCCAACAGTAAGAAAGCAACCAGTGTTTCTAACTGATCCAGTTGCATTCAAGCCTTTTGTTCTGTTGGTGTTTGGCTTGATTTGAGGTCAGCAAGTTCAGGCATGTTCTGTGGTGGTTGTTAATGCAATATAGTCAGAGACTTGTTTAAATTCACTAAACGAAACAGCCCCACTCAGGACAGCATATACATTTACTATGGGAACACAGTAACCATTAGACTGAGAGTAAACAACAGGCTAGTGGAGATTTCCTTTAAAGCTCAAGCTTTAAAGTGGACTCCCTCCACTTCTATCTGTTTCTGCCCTTTGTTACCTTCCTCTGACTTGTTGTCACTCTGACAGACTTTTTCTCTTGTCCCAGCTTTGCTGCTCTGACCTTTTATTAAACTACTCCCCTGGAAAAGTTGTTACAGTTCACACTGATCTCAGTAAAGACATTTGACATCTGACACTGGCATTTAGGAAAGGTTTCAGACATAATCCTAAAAAAGCATCACCAGTAAACACACAAGAAATAATTTTGGAGAATGTTACTAATAATGGAGGGAATCCCAACCTGCTGCACATGACAGGAACAACATACAGTCATGTGAAAAAATGTTTTCACAGCATTCTGCAGTCCTGTGATGAACTAAGTACAGCTTGTTATTTAATAGCTTGTAGAACCACATTTAGCAGCAATAACTTGAAGTAACTGTTTTCTGTATGACTCTATCGGTCTCTTCAACGAGGTTTGTAGGTTTTGTGTTCAACTCTCTTAGGCTTTGACTGGACTATTGCTTCCCCTTAAT